GACCGTACCTTTGAGCACTGAATGACCCCGAGACATTAGTTTGCTTGCTATCACTGGCCTTTATGGCTACAGGGGAGACCTGTGCTAAACCAATCTTCACTTACCCCAGGCTCTCCTAATGCGGTTGTTATTCAGTTTTCTCTTCTCCCCCCTCCAAGACAGGGTTTCTGTAACAGTTTTGGCTGCCCTGGAGCTCAACTGGTAGACCAAGCTGGCTGGCTGTGCCTGGGATTAAAGGTGTACATCACCATTGCCCGGCTGTTACTCAGCTTTTAAACAAATATTTACTTCCTATTTCTTGTCTGAGTCAAGGGCTGAAACTGTCTAGCCAGTGGTCATATGGTGCCTGCCAACTCTGCGCTCAGTTTTGGTACATCATACTGAACTTATGAGGAAAAATTATTTTGCATCATTCTTTCACAAATTTCAGCCCACGGCAGGTTGGCTTTGTCGTTTAAACCTTGGTGAGGAGGAAGAGCATTGTGGTAGTCGGCCAAAGGGCTCACTTAGAGAAGTCCCAGTTCAAACCTCCTCTTCGGAGGACAGTTGCTAGACAGCACTAGTTCTGTGTCCCTATCTTTGAGAATTTGCATTTTTAATTCAAGTATTTCAGTGCCACACACATGCCTGCTCTACAGATTTACAGCTGCTGAGGTAAGGATATAATAATACCTCTTTTGTTCTCTGTATTTTTTTCTCTAGAGATCAGAAAGTCTATCAAAAGTACCCTGTCACTACTCTGTATTAGGATCATTTAAAATAAGAAAGCTCTCAGTGGTAACAATCATTTGCCCAGCCACTGAGTTCAAACCCCTCCTCGGGGTGGGTGATCCCACAAAAGAAAAAAAAAAATCAGTAATTAAAACCCAACAAACAACCCAATCCCCAACACACAAACAAAACGACCAAAATCTCCAAACAGTTTGGACTGTTACTTTTTTGTTGTTTTTCCCAGACAGAGTTTCTCTTTGGAGCTTGTCCTGGCACTCGCTCTGTAGACTACCAGCTTTGAACTCACAGAGATCCACCTGCCTCTAACTAGAGTGTAGGGACTAAAAGTGTGTAGCACCACCACTGTAACAAGGATTTACTAAGAGCAGAAATTCACCTTTACTTTGCATCCTCAGAACCTTATACATGTTATAGATAGCATTCATGGGAGGTCTCCAGAGAAACAATGGTGAGTATACATGATAGTGACAATAATTCCAGGTCAAACATTTGCCTGAGCCAGAAACAATGATGTCTAAGGCCAAGAGACTATTTCCCATCTCAAACAGCAAACTTACACTACCTTTTTGTTCTAGTTTGTCCTTCAATAGAATTTTACTATATTCATTGCTATTTCCTTCCAGAAACATGGGCAGAAATAATTGTTATCAGCTACCTGGGCATCTCTTAGCCCAGTCAAATTCATTAGTCATTACATAGGCACTCACTTTAGATGACTCCTGGGAAGCTCCCACATATTCTTTTATACAAACTACTCTGTGAGACAAGTGCTATCTAGCCCCATATCATCCTGAACTGCCTTTCTTATGCAAGGCCCACAAGTTAACTTGCTCCAGGGATTACTGTGCTAAATAATGGCAGTTGGGAAGCTCTACAGCACAGAAAACCTAGCTGAAGCCCTATGTCAGGGTGGTTTTCACAGTGAGTTAGAATTTTATTTCCCATAAAAGTTGTTAAATATATTATCTCACTTGATTTTAGGTTATTTATTGAAGCAACAAAAACCTCAAGATTTACTACAAAAATGTAAAAAGCAGGCTGGGGATGTAGCTCAGATGGCAGAGTGCTTGCCTAGCATCCAAAGGTCTGGGTCCATTCCCAGCACCACAGAAAAGCAGGTGGTAGTGGTAAAAGGATCAGGAATTCAAGGGTACCCTTGGCTATAGAACAAGTGTGGGGTAAACACAGGCTACACACCAGTGTCTTGATAAAAACTATACCTGCACATGCATACTTCCAGACATACAGCAATGATTATACTGAAGACTTATACTGCATTATTAAAAGAAACTTATGGGGACTGGCGAGATGGCTTAGATGTTAAGAGAACATACTGTTCCAAAGATGACCTACATGATTCCTGTCATTGTATCAAGCGGTAACTCTAGCGCTAGGAAAATGGACACCCCTGGTCTGAGGGCACTGATGACCACTGTTAATGGATGATCCTATCAACCAGTCTACCCATGCTTAAAAATAATTTTCATATGCCAGTTAGGTGGGGTCTTCCACAGAGGGGCAGTAATAGAGCAGGAATTAACAGCTGCAACAGTAAGCCCATCTAGATGTTTAAAACACAAAACTAATTTCTAGTAGATACCTAGGTCTAGCAGAGTCAAACTGTGATGGTTAATCTTCACTGTAGAATCACCATGGAAACATTGTTGCATGTTGGTGAGGGTGTTTCCAGAAAAGCCTAACTGAGCCAGGATGACTATCTTTAATGTCCTATGGGCATGGCTGTGGACAGAGTGAAAAGCAGAAAATGAGCCAAGCACTAACCTTCATTCACCTTTCTGCTTCCTGGCCCTGGGAACACAGGAGGGACCTCTGCCAGCATACCTTCCCCATCATGAGCCAAAATAAACCCACCCTTTTTTAAGTGGCTATGCTCAGGTATAACTAACACAGAGGAAGGAAACAAAATATGCAGTATTTCTCTAAGTTTACAACCCAGCAGAAAACTAGCATAGCCACCATGGTTATATTTTATGGAAAATGAAGTTGAAACCCAAATAATCAACATTATTTTTGGGGGGGGGGTAGTTGTTTCCCTGGGGAAATTAGTGATTTCTCCTCCCAGTATCTTGTGCATGCCAGAAGTGCTCTACCACTAGACTATGGCTCCAGCACCTTTACAAGAGGCTATATCTCATGGCCCTGGCTGGCCTTGAACCTGTCAGAATTTTAAAGTAGCTGGGAATCAGTTTGTCAGGCCTTGCTTATACCAGTGACCTTTTAACCTCTTGCCAACAAATGGGCGTTCAAATAGAGAAAGAACCTGTGTAACCCAACAGTAAGTTTTGTTTATGGATTTTTTTTTTTTTAAAGGCAGATTACTCTGGGCAGCCCTGGCTGGCCTTGAACTCAGAGCCACCTTACTCTAAAGAGTGCTGACTTTTAAAAGTATGTCCCATCACACCTGCCTCAATCTATGATTTTTTTTTTTTCTATAAAAAGAGACATTTTCCAAACCTACATGGCAAAAATAAGAAGTTTGTATTAGCCTTAGGGCAATCAAAGGTTCAGTGGAAAATGGGGGCCTTCTAGTCATCAGGCAAATGGAAAATCTCAACTCCCATTTATATAGAAGATAGGAGGACAGAGTTTTTTCAAGGCCTAGTCAGAAGGTACAATGGGCAAGACTTGGCAGGTAGTGGATGCAGCAGCCTGAAGCACTATGGTTTTTATGAGACAGACAGGCCAATAAAACTGGCCAAACATAACAAATCTAGGAGTACAGAGCTGGCAATCAGTTATCCTGAAGTGTTACTGATACTGCTAAAAAATTTAAAGTAGAAGGTACCAATACCCAAGAAAAATGGTGAGAAAAAAATTAAGTTTTAATTATCTTGATATCTAGCTGAAGGAGTGGTTAGTTAGTTACATCCTACAGGGACCAAGCAAGTAGTTCTTAAGAGGTAGCACCTGAATAGGTGAAAGGTGAAACATACAGACTGGTGTGGGTTTGCCACCATTTCCTCTGTGACAGCTCCTTAGCAAGCTAAACTCACTTCTCATAAAAATGAACAATAAGCCAGGTGGTGGGGTGGGCACACGCCTTTAAACCTAGCACTTGGGAGGTAGGCAGATGTCTATAAATTCAAGGCCAACCTGGTCTGTAAGTTGAATTCCAGGACAGGCTCCAAAGCTACAGATAAACCCTGTATCTCTCTCTCTCACACACACAAGTAAATTTATCTGAAGACTCGTGGCTGCTTAGTTTATAGGGTAATGAGTGACCCACAGGAAAATCAGTGCTGAACAATGTAGCAGTGATTTCTAAACAATGAATTATGGGTTTAAGATAAACTACAATAAAATCTTCCCTGCTGCTTAACAAGGAAAAAAAAATTTTCAGTGAGTTCATCCATATAAAGAATTAATTTACAATTCTGCCCTGCCCAGACTTTGTATATTTGTAACAAACTCGCTGCCATGATAGCTGGCACTGAAAGGCAGCACAGAATTTCAAGCTAGGCATAGTAATTGTGTTCAAGACTTGAGACTTAAGGTACAGACGCCAGCAGAGAGAAGTAAACAGAAGAGCTAATTAGCACAGTGCATTAGTCACTTGCCTAAAATACACATGTAATGAACATGGCAAAGGATGGGAAACACTGTGATGGAATCCACAGCCAAGCTTCATGAAATGCAATATTTGACTTCTCAGTAACGTCAGATGTTACAGAAGTGAATGTGGCTAGGCCCATTGTCCAATTATACAGTAACAAAATGAACTAGCCACCACATCCACTCACCTATCCACTCCCTTGACTGCAGGTGTGGCTAAAACATTTTACAGAGAATCAAAGTTTATGGCCCAAACCTAGTTAAATGGCTAAGCCACAATTTATGAAGAAGTCTTTTATTGGAATGGTGAGACGACTACTTTTCCCCAAGGAATTGTCCTAATACACAAAGACCCCAGGAAAGAGCCCTTCCCATCACTTCTACTTTATGTGTTTCTTCTATCCCTATTCTCAATTTCTTTAAACAAAAAAGACCCTCAAGCAAACATGGGTAAAGATGTAACTCAGAGGTAGTGCCTGCCTACCATCTATTTGCAAGGCCCCGGGTTTCCCCACACCATAAAAACAAACTCAACCAAGCACAAACACACCTTACCTGGAGATTCATGTAGCTATGCACTTTCTTAGATAATGACCTGGAATGTATAGACCAGGCAGTGAGAATAGCTATTAACATAAACAATAGAATACTTTAATTTTCAAATCATGAGCTACAGAAGACCAACCAGTAGCTACTGATTTATAAAGTCATTATTAGCATTTAGAAGTTACAAGTGATTATGAGTCTACATGGATGATGGGAACCAAACTCTCTGGTCCTCTGCAAGAAAGTTCCTAAACCACAGACATAGCTCCAGCTCCATAAAAGACATTTCTTTGCTAATGTATGTAACTGCCTACCAATAACCATACATAATTGAACAGTGTCATACTAATTTTAGTAACTATAAAGGACCATTTATTTAGCAGTAAATTCAATTGTTTTCTCTGATGTGAAATCCTTTTGCTTGAATTCTTCTCTTTTTAATACAAACTAGGAATGTGTAATTTTTCTCCTAAAAATTATTTTAAAAAAATTTATAAATTGCATTCTCTGATTTTCTTGTCAGCTTGCTTTAAAGATATCCAAGTGTTCAAAATGCTTGCTCGAAGTTTGGCCCACACCAAATGATTGTTTAACCCAAATATCTGAGCAGCAAACTGGGCAGATCCTTCTGGAGAAAGTATAGTTGAACAGCCAAGACCTATAGGTTCAGAAAGGAAATATAAATGAGTTGGTAGCTTAAAAATAAATAAATAAATAAAAAAACAAAAGATAGTAAACCCAAGTTCTAACTTCTTAAGAGATGCATATTAAGCATAAAAATAAAGAATACTTCAAAAATTTTAAATCTGATTTAAAATTAGTAGGCTGTGGCCAATATTAGTAAACTAGGTAGAGACTTTGAGATTGCATTTTGAATTTTTTGGGTATACACACAGTACTGAAAAATTTCAAGGTCTTACCACTGGGCAGTCGAAGGGATGACCACACATCCTGAGCACCCCAGTCTGGTGTGATGGGGGGACAGCTGATAACTGGATATGCAGTATTACCAGACATCACTGGGCCCAAACCATTGCTTCTGCCAGCCACTGCGACAAATACAGTAGGTATGCCATCCCCTAGGAAATTACAAGATAAATCAGGTCCTTGTTGACAATAACAACAGCATGAACCAAAAAAAAAAAAAAAAAAAAAAAAAAAAAGAGGGGCAGGTGAGATGGCTCAGTGGATAAGGGGGATTGCTGCTAAGTCTGGTGACCTATGTTTGACCTCTGGAACCCATATAGTAGCAAAGAACTGACTCCTGCAAGCTGTTCTCTAACCTCCACTAATACTATAAAAATGTAGAATACAAAATGAACATAGATCACGGTTAATAATAACCTAAGCAGCGTAGGCGTGGCCATTTTTGAGATCTATAGTATAAAGAGAATGTCCTGAAGTAGGCGAGAGAATAGCTGGCTCATAGCTTCCCTCTGCTATTGCTGCTTAGACTCAGCAACATGAAGAACCTCACCAGCTGAATAGCTTTTATGTTGAGTTGTCCTTCCACAGGGTGCCAGTTGACTTATTTATGATTAAAATTCTTGTGGCTACTTCATGAATATTCAGTATCTGGGTGCTGGGGTACATGTAGTAAAGAACCCCCAGTTATAGTGCTTAGGATGCTTGTCTACAGGCTCATCATTTACAGTATCAGCATATGGCTGTTTTGCCTCCAGTCTATGCACATGTGTGCAGTGCTCCTGGAGGCCAGAAGAGGGCGATGGATTCCCCTGGACTGGACCTAGATGGTTTGAGTGCTCTTAATCAATGAGCCATTTTTTAAAACTTAAAAAAAAAAATTTGAGTATGTGTGCCTGCATGAGTTTATGGGCATCACATGCATGCAGGTGCCCAAAGAGGCCATAGGATATGAGACACCATCCCTGGGGATATGTGTAAAAGTATAGGCATTTCACATGACTTTCCTTGGAAATATGGAAAGCCTTTTTAAAACATGATTATCCAAAACATGTATTTAAAAATATTTTACCAAAATCAGAAATATCCACAGTTCTCCATTTAGCTATAAAGTTTACCTTCATACTCTGCTTTAATCCTCAAAGTTTCATCGGGTCCTTTATGGGCAGATGTGACTCGGAGTTCACAGGGAATCCCGAAGTTTCCACAAGCCTTTTTAATTTTCTCACAGTGGCCAAGGTCAGATGTGGAACCCATCAACACTACAACCCTACACTGACTGTCTGACTTCAGAAGTAACTGGAGAAGGACATGAAAAAGACAAAAATGGGTGTCACAGGCAGTCAATGTAACAGAGTATCTTCGTGTGTGTGTGTGTGTGTGTGTGTGTGTGTGTGTGTGTGTGTGTGTGTGTGTGTTGAGCCAGCTAATAGCTGGCTTCTCTATTTTTCCTTCCCTTCTTTCTGAAAGGGTCTTGTGTATGCCTGGATGACCCAGGACTGACTCATAGGTAACTAAGGATGATCACAGGTATGTACTCATAGGTAACTAAGGATGGATCACAGGTGTATACCAAAACATTTGGTTTATTTAGTCCTGGGGACAAACTCAGGACTTCATGCATGCCAAGCAAGCACCTGTAAACTGACCCGCATCCTCAGTACATGTGTTTTTTTGTTTTGTTTGCTGACACAGGTCTCATTATGTAGAACAAGCTAGTCTCAATCTCAGAGAGACATGCCCTATTTTCCCTTCCAAGTGCTAGGAATAAAACTGTGCCACAATGCAGAGTTGGCATTTTCCTTCTGAACAGGCCAAAGCAGGCAAGCATTCTACCATGATACTCAGCCCAATTATGTTATAATATCAAAAGTATAACATTTTAATGCAATTGTAGCAGAGAAGAATTACCTCTACTCGATCTGCAACCCACTCAAAGTTCTTCTTCACCATCTGCAGTCCTTCCGGAGTTACTTCCTTGAGGTCACGGTAAGACTAGCAAGTAAGTTACAAAGTTTAGAAAATAATTTTCTCTTGCTATCTTAAAAACACTTGCCTCTTTTAAGTAGAGCTTACGACAAGTTTGCATAATGAGATATATCTGAAAATGCACCTTGATGGACAAATGTCTTCAATGAAAAAGTTTAGCAGGAAAGTAAAATTAACCTTTCATTTAAGGCCAAATGCTTTCTTTGTTAGCAATTACAAGTAACTGGGTAAAGGTCTTAAGACTTTGTGTGTAGAATATCCCAGGTCTGTCACTTAGTCTTGGTACTGTGAAGATACTTAATAGATAAATAAGGACAGTTGTCCCTTTGCTGTTTAAGAATCCGAAGGTGACAAATACAAACGCCTGCTTTGTAGGTTAAAAATATTCCTTACCACCACAGGAGAGTTCTGTTCACTTTTACTTTTGGGTACTTAAGTTTGACTCCAGGGCCTGGTCTATGCTAAGCAGGTGCCCTACCTTTGTGCTGTCTCTCCAGCAGAGAGAAGTGATTTTAAAGGCAAACAGTTAACAATAAACCAGACCAATATTCTCTCATCACTACCAGGACTTGATCTTACAATAGACAGTAAGCTCAGAGCACTACATACCTGTTTGTCTTTCTGCTGGCTCCGATCTCCTGATGGCCAGAGTCTCCAGGAATCATTATCAATAACATCAGCGAGAATAATCTCTTTGGTGGTTACATCAACACCAAATTCAATCTAGAAGCAGCATGTCACCAAGAACATGATGTGAAAAACAAAAAAGCTACTAAAGACATTCCTTAATTACAACCCTCATTTTTAAATTTCCTTATTTTATCAGTACCTTCATATCGACCAGTGTACAGTTCAGGGGCAGCCAGGACTTCTCCAGTATTTCAAATATAGCTTGGGTAGCATGACTCATGATGTCCACTTCAGTCTGGCCTATAACAAGTCCAGCAAAGCAGAACTTTGCAGCAATGAGCTGCTCCTCAGACCACTGCGGGTCATTATTGGCATCATCCTGAGAGTAAAACACAGCAGCGCAGTTCATTTAAATCGCAGAATTTCCAACTTCCCAATACACACGGACATTTTAAAGTCCTTTTTCCTTGAATGTATTCCTAAGAACTGAAATATTTTTCGGGCAATGGCGGTGCATACTTTTAATCCCAGAACTCAGGAGGGCAGTGGCAGGCAGATCTCCATGTGTTCGAGGCCAGCCTGCTCTACAAAGCAAGTTCCAGGACAGCCAGGGCTACAGAGAAACCCTGTCTTGAAGAAGACAAAAAAAGGATTGGTATTTTCAATCTAACATTCTCCCAGATAACCTATAATTCAAGCAATTATTTGTAAGTTTGTCTACTTAAATTTTTTTATTTTTATTTATGTGTTGTGCTACATGTATGCAAATGAGATCAAATTCTGGCTCTCTGAAAGAGTAGCAAGTGCTGAGTTACCATTCAGGCCCTAACTTGACTACTTAAAAAAAAAGATTATTTTCTTTTTAGGTCTACATGTGTTTTACCTGCACACAATATGCCATTTGTTCACCATATGTATGTTTGGTGCCCAAGGAGGCCAGGAGAGGGAACCATATACCCTGGAGCTAGAGTTACAGGCAGATGTGAGCAGCCACGTATGTGCTAGTCCTTGAATCTTAAGTGAGCCACCTCTCCAGCCCCCTAATGTGTTACTTTTATAGTTCTTTTAAGCTATTTAGATGAGTTATTTTTGAAATACTTAAACCAAATCTGCCCTTTCCCTGTAAAGCAATTTTTATGTGTACATATGTTTTTATGCATATTTGTATATCTACTTTGAAAACAATGGTCAATTTTCCATTTTTAAGTAGTTAATTGTATGGCATGTTCATATTATGATTAAAATTATTAAACTCCCAGCACTTGGGAGGCAGAGGCAGGCTGATCGTTGAGTTCTAGGCCAGCCTGGTCTACAGTGTGTTCCAGGATAGCCAGGCAAGGCCACACAGAGAAACCTTGTCTGGAAAATAAACAAAACAAAACCCCCATGGACAACAGTGTCTCATTACGCAGCCCCCAGGCTGGCCTTGAACTAGTCATTCTTCTACCACCCTTCTTTCCTTTAAATTTTATTTTGAAGTAAGAATGGCTGTTTTGCATGTTTGACCTGCATACCAGATGAGACCATCAGACTCCCTGGAACTGGAGTTAAATAGTTGTAAGCATGTAAGTGTTGAGATCAAACCTGGATCCTCTGGAAGACTAGCCAGTACAAAGGCTGCACCATCTTTCCAAACACCCCCCACCCCCGCCATTGCTCAAATATTGGGGAAGAATACAGGTGTAGACCACCAGGCCTACCATGCCACTAAATCCTTTTCAGAATGTGAAAAAGTATTTTCACAGATTCTCCCCCCAACAAAAAACCCGATTCTTCATTACTAATGTAAACACACATTATGACATAAATTTCTAGTATGACACAATGAAGCATCAGATGTTTCAATGTTTAACATTCTGAATTTGTGATTTAAGTGACAAAACCAGTTACCTTGAAGAACATCTCTACTTTTGGTGGGTAAAACTTATGCCCCTCCTTTACACCAGGGTTCCTTTTGAGAAAAGAGCCAGTTGCTATTCTTCGGCACACCCATTCAATTGGAATCATTTCACACTGGGGGGCAATGAAAGCAGTCTCCCCATATTTCTTGGTGAAAGCAGTTTTGATACCTACATATTGATGATAAAAGGGGGGAAAAGCAATGAATTTTTCTCTAAAGAGCTTGGATGTTTCAAAAGCCCAAGCTATTCCCAGTTAGCTCTCTCTGCCTATTTGTAGTGTAAGCTCTCAGCTACTGCTCTGGTGCCCAGTCTGCAGCCACCATCCTGCCATGATGGTCATGGACTCTACTTCCTGGAACTGAAAGCCCCCAAAAAAGTACTTTCTTTTTTAAGTTGCCCCAGTCACGGTAACAGAAAAGTAACTAAGACTGGGCAATACTGGAGATTGCATGCTAATCAAGTACTCCTATCAGAGTCATCCCAAGTTTAAGGTTTCTTTGAACTCAAACACCATTACTTCCAGACTAGTAAACTGTTACAGTAAACCTTAAAGGCTCTTGACTTGATTTTAGAGTATGTAACTTAGCCTGTGAGCCATTCCCAAAGATTAACTCAAATATAGCCAGTTAGTCGCATTTGATAAAATATACTGGTAAGTATAACATGTTCTTGACCCAAATAATTTCTCCCAATGAAAATGAAAGGGGAGGCACTCACCGGCCTCCTGTAACAGCTGGAAAATACAGCTGGTAATCTTATTGGAGATTGCAGCTTTGCCCTCCATATGGTTCTTTCTAGCTGCATTTCCTGCTGTAATCTGGTCCTTGGACTGCAGGAGGACTCTTCCTGGATTATCTGACAATTCATAGACTTCTTTTGTCTTACCCTCATAGAGTTTTCTCCCAATGTTCAGTACTGTGTAAATAAAACAAAATTCTATTAAATTCAGGAAGATTTACCAAATATTAAAGAACCAGCTATGGGTGGCAGCAGCACATGGATCTCTATGAGTTCAAGGCCAGCCTGTTCTACAAAGCAAGCTCCAGGACAGACTCCAAAACAAAACAAAGAACCAGCTAAAATGGTGAATCACTGTATAGGCAGTGATTAACATAAATAAAAGTAAAAAACATTTCTTATGCACCACCACATAACTTCGTTTAATTATATTAACTACAGATTAGAAAACAAGGTTCACAAAATTGAGGCCACACATTTAGTAAATGGAGAACCAGAAATAACCCCAAATCTTCTATATCAACATCGTACCTGCTCTACTGTAATAAGCTTGTCTTTGATTTACAGGAGAAAAATGTTTTTTTTCCCCTGACTTTTCATAACAAGATAAATGGGAAAATTCAGAACAATTTCTTGATTTCAAATTAACGTGTAAGAGGCTCCACCACTCATCTAAATAATCTGGTAGGTGGCAGAGGTAGTAAAAACAGAGTTTGCATAACACGTAAAGGGTCTAGGTTGAAAGTCTAGTACCAAAGGAAAAACAAATTCCAGACCAAAAGACATTTTAATGACGTTGTTCTGAAGCCAGCCACACCACCCCATGAGACAACAGCAGGCTTTCCTCTGTTTACATTTGAGTTAGCCCTTCTGGAAGAGCACAGTTTCTCAATCCTCTGCTACCAATAAGCAGCCTCTCCACTGAGGATGTAGGAGAGTACTAGGAAATGAATGAAAAAGCATCTTCTTTTTCTGAGACAGGGTCTCACCTCATAGCCCTGGTTAGACTGGAATGCCCTTTGTATATAAACCAGGCAAACCTCAAACACAGAGATATATCTGCCTCTGTGACTAAAGATGTGCATCACCACACCAGGCAAAAGCATCTCATTTTATTCCACAACACATTTATCCTCAGTATTTTTCCAGTGTAGCTGTGTGCCAGGACTATGGGCGTAACAGCAAATGAAATCCAGTCTCTGTTCTCAAGGGACCTGGTAAGTCTTGAAGGAAGCTGGCAATAAATAAGAAATCCTAATAAAATAATACAAAGTAGAGGCTATTCACAGCAGGGAAGTCTACATCTGAGAAGTCTAGAACAAAGCTGCATGGAGACCTGAAAATGATCAAAACTTAACAAGGGTAATTAAAAGTGGCAAGGCCAAGTAGTCCAAGTGCAGAGGTCAGTCAACACAGCTGAGCACTTTGTGCTCTATTAATGTGTAGACTGGAAGTGGTTAGAGCAGTTAGTAGGCAGAACGGCAGGAAGGAAAGTAGAAGAGACAGTTGGGGAGGTCAGCCTGTTCTGTGTGGGTAACTCCAGGACATTCAGATACACTGAGACCACCAGCTGGCACAGGAAAACAATTAAGCGCCCAAGAAGAAAATCAATGGCCTAACCTTGGTTCAGTGTTCTTAAAATTAATGTCACAACTTGGTCAAACCGTGTGAGCTGATCTTTGGACTAGACTAAACTAGGTTTCTGAAACATTAGTTTTACAACCTGTTACCTACACAGGTACTGACTCTTTCTTCAACCATATTCCTCTAACTGATCTACTTCCAACCTTTCTTGTGATTTAAAACTGTAAAGATGGATGGGTGGTGCTGGCAATGCCTTTAATCCCAGTGCTTGGGAGGCAGAGGCAGGATGATCTGTGACTTTGAGACCAGCCTGGTCCAGAGCTAGCTCAAAACAAACCAAACCAAAACCAAAACCAAAACAAACAAACAAAAAACCCCACCCCAACAAAAACTGTAAAGAGGTCATCTTGTAAAATCTGAATATGTTTTTTAGTTACTTGCCTCAGGGTATCTGGGATTACAATCCTAATCATTGATAAATAAACGTATATTTTTTCCAACCAAGCTAAATTTAATTCTGGGATGACACTGGTGATAAATAATTTGATTAAGTTTCCACTGTGGCATATTAATCTAATGTTCAGAAAGATTAACAAAGTTTAAATGCCCTGAAGGCTATAGCATCAGTTCTGAACTCTAAATTTATTTCTCTATTTCCTTTCTATAACTTCAACTTTAATTTTTGTGACCTCTTCCCAGGTCTTAACCTCCATGGCAGGCCTGACACACCGTTGCATTCCATCTAATTCACTACTCATTCTTCATTGGCTATGTTGAGTTTAAATGTAACCCAAGAACCAGGGGGTTGTTGTAAGTATGAAAGAGCAGAAGACTCAATATATTTAAAAGAACTGATTTCATATGTAAGACAAAGGGGCTTTAGTCTAGATTCACATTAAAAAAAAATAAGAGATTGGAAAGATGTTTCTACAGTTAAGAGTACAACTTCAATTCCCAGCAGACACACTGGGTTGGCTCACATTCATTCACCATGAGCACTGGTATTCAGTTAAGAGCACAGCCCAGGTTCACTTTCCTATACCCACAAAGTGGCTCTCTTAGAATCATCCTAAACTCCGGTTTCAAGGGATTTGAACACCTTCTTCTGATCCTTGACAGCATGAGGGACACACGGCACATGTGGTACACATACAGACCTGAGCCGAATCTCAAATACAAAAGAAGGCTAAAATAAAATGAGAAAACTAAAGGTTTCTACCTATTGTTCTAAAACTTACCCAAATCTATATTCACCCCCTAGTCATTAGTGATTTTAAATAATGGGCATAAAAATAGGTGTGGAGCCCAGATACATCTTAAAAAAAAAAAAAAAAAAAAAAAAAAGCAAAACAAACAAACAAACAAAAAACAAAACAAAAAAAACCCTCCTGTATGGAAGGCTCTGAGAACATCGGGAAGAAGGGGTTGAAAGATTGTAAGAGCCAGAGGAATGAAGTTTGCTGCGATTGTGTCTCCCAGTAACATCAGAAGCTTCACCCATAAAGCCTTACCAGCGCGCACTGTCCAAATGTGAGCTGAACAAGGAGAGGTTACCAATGGCTATGCCAGAAGTGAATGGAGAAAAGCTACGGCTTCAACCCTACACAAAGAGCTGTAGGCAACTGAGGAAAGCTGGGACTGGATAGGTGGTCTTCTCCAGCACCAATGGGTTGCCCAGTTCAAGATGGCCAGCCTCAAAAAATGGACATACAAATAACATAAGGGCCAAGTAGTTACATTTAATATATGTGCATGTAGATAACCATGCACACAATAACAGTTAACAAAAAGGCCATAAATTTAAGGAGAGAGTTAAAGGGTGTCTGGGAGTGTGTGAGGAAGGAAATTAAAAACTTGAACCAAACCAAAACACTTGAAAAATATGTAGGAAGTATATGCTTCAAAATGCTTTTTAAAATGTGTATGCCTTTAATCTCACACTATTGAGTTCCAGGCCAGTTAAGGCTGTACAGAGACCCTGTTTGAATACCAACATACACCCCAAAAAATAGGTGAATTCAAGCAAAGATAGATGAGGTCTGAGATGTTTCATGACTTTTCAAGTCTTAAAAACAAACACAAACATGCTAGAACTGTGCTGCCCAGTAAGGATTCACATAGCAACACTTTGAGTACAAAAGGCCTTTTAGAAAGCACAAAATCCACATCTGTTAAAAGGGCCTTTAACTCCAGTTCCAGGTAACCAGACACCCTCCAGACTTCTCAAGCATGCTCAAATATAGCATCCACCCACATAAAAGGGAGAGGGGGCATGGAACCTAACAGGGAAGATTCTACAGATTTTACCAGCTTAGAAGGACAGGCACCCTAATCTCAGAAACATTCTGGGTAAAAGTCCCAATTTATGAAGCCGTGACACCTTTTTTTTTTTTTTTTTTTTTTTTTGCTTTTTATAAGTAGGAAAAAATGTGCTGGGCGCCCACACGATTTACTTCATTATCTAGAAACTTTTGTTGTGGTTCAAGACAGCGTTTAATTAGCATAAAAACTATAAACCACCTTTCCTGAGGCTCTTACTATACAGGAACAAAATGGTAGCGTAACTATAGTCTATCAAACAAAAAGTGATAAGGAAACGTTTCCCTTCGATTTTGGCGCTCTCCAAAGTTATCAAGACATCAAAGACTACCAGCCAGTACTGATCATTACCCATAACCCGAAATTCCAGGCAAGCCTGGACTACAAAGCTAGCACTTGACCAAAAAAGTCTGAACCTATATTCATAGTATTAAATTATTAACCTTACGGCAAAAGACTACTGGCGTATTAAACTTGACAGAATAAACAGGACTTTGAGTTGAAAAATTCTGCTAGGTTTTCCTGATCGTATATCTATCAGTTCCTAGGCATTTCGTTAGTTTCTGGCCATTTCTCCTCCGGAGTACCTTCGCACTCTGTTACTTTCCTGCAGTCCCGGGGCCATTTCTGGGGGACCCAGGTGTTTAGTATCCAATGCACGTCTCCGGGCGCTTGGACCACGTGTGAAAGATCCGGGACCCAGACGCCATCGTGGGGAAGCGAGCCGGGCAATGTACCAGGAGCACTGTAATCCGACCCGGGGGCTGCCCGTGAGAGCGCGCCTAGCATGCTAACTCCATGCTGGAGGGTTGGGGGTACTCAAGCCGGCTACTCACCCTCAGCTGCCGCCATTATCCCACGTGGGATGGAGGTGTAGACCGCGCGGGAAAGAGAAGCAGCGCCCTGGAAAACAAGAGCAATCAGAGAGGCTTAGTAGGGCGGGGAAGGGCGGTGCAACGCAGACTCCGCCTTGGCAGAGCAGCTATTCCGGGCCCGTTCTTCCTACTCATCGGCGACCGCTAAATACTGGGCTGGCCGGGTCTGCATTGCGTCCCCGGGCTTCCAGCCGCGCAGGCGCGCTAACGCGACCCCGCTTCCGGGCGGCCCCGCGCCGCAGTTCCTTGCACGAAAAGTGGCGCGCAGGCTGCGGCCCCCACTGCCCGAGAGAGGGTTCTGGGTTGGAGCATACCAAGTCCTGACTGCCGGGGGAAGGCGTGCGGCCTGGGCACGCACAGCCGAAATCCAAGGGATAAGCAACACTAACTGCGCTCCCGTTACCTCTTTAAGTCTAGGGAGCGGGAAAATAACGGAGACTGCCACGTGCGGGAACACCAGCGCCGCTGACCTCTCCCGCGGAGAACTGGCCCCACCCACTTGACTCCATAGCTCCGCCCCCGTTCTGTGCCGGAACTGATTGGCGGGACGCTGGAGGCCGAGCTGGCCACGCCCCCTCTGGGAAAGCGCGCGCCGCCGCAGTAGCGAGAACCTAGCCGGCGGGGAAGGAGTAGGCAGTCTTTAGCGTGAGCTTCAGAAGCGTTCTGTAGCAGAGCGGACAGCTGGTTGGCGCTTGGACCAAGCCGCGGCAGCAGGTCCCTCCACGTGCTTTCAGCGGCGCCATGGAACTGGAGGAGTCGGGGATCCGTGAGGAATGTGGCGTATTCGGGTGCATCGCTTCTGGAGAGTGGCCCACGCAGCTAGATGTGCCGCATGTGATCACTCTGGGACTCGTGGGGCTGCAGCACCGGTGAGCAACAGGATGAGGTGTGGGGGTGGAGTGGCAAGTATTTGCACAGTTCCGCGAGCCGCTTCCCAGCTCTGGCGATCTATGGAGACCGCGGGACTGAGAGGTGGATGTCAGGAATCAGGACCAGTACCAGCCCCGGGCATTGATCAAGTGGGGGTGGGGTACGCCTTGCCTCATAGACATTAACCTAGTCAGTCGCATTCCTTCCTAATGCTTTTTACTGGTTAACTCCAAGAATGTTGCGGGTATGTTAGGCTCGAGTTTGCTTATACTAGCCAGGTTGGGAAGGAATCTTTCAGATCTCCTTGAACCTAGACTTGTTCTTGAGATAAGCTTCTGTAAGGTGGTGGCTGGTGAAGGTCCTCCAACACTTGTAGTTTTTTTCTTGCGCGTGGCCTCCAGCTCGCAGAATCTTTGTTTGTAAGGGCAGAACTATTGAGCAGATTGTCAGCCAGAAAGTTACAGGTTTGGGGATTGTGGGCTTGAAAGTAGTTACTTAGGGACTTAGGGAATCTAGAATTCAGACTCAGACAGGGAAAAAGGAATAGTTGGTATTCAAAACGAGTCACAGTAGTAGATTTCATATACATTAACTTAAGTCACTGGGGGAAGACTGATTGGTAAAGTTTTAAATAATAAATGAAAACAGTAAGATCCAATAGGGGAACCCTCTTCTTTAAAGGGCAGAGGTAGTGCTGGATGGCAAAAACTGGGAGATGTCTTCGAGGTAAACAAAACAAAAACAACTTTGCTTCCATAATTTTTCGGTTTCTTTCCACCAGACTTAACTGGCAGTAGGTATAAATCCGTTGAAGGAAATAATACAAACTAGGAATGGCATATCTCCCCCCAAAGTATCACAAAGTTTCAGAAGACAATACAGTAGTGACAACTTCTAGAGCTGCGCAATAACATTTATCACATTTATCGGCAATGCCCGTGCCACATGTATTACCTTTCCCTTCCCAAACAATGTAGAAGTAATCCTTTTGCTTTTTCACAGTCCCAAATCTTTGTATTTGAATTTCATATTCTGTATACTACTTGTTTGTTAAAAAGCGTCTGGGAGCCAAGCTTGGTGGCACACGTCTTTAATCCCAGCCCTCTGGAGGCAGAGGCAGGCAGATCTCTGAGTTCAAGGCTGTCCTGGTCCACTGAGCAGGTTCCAGAACAGCCACACAGAGAAACCCTGTCTCAAAACAAAACAAAAAAGCATCTGGAATGAATCAACACAATCTTTTTAAAACTTGAGTAGCTGTCTTGAATAATTATGAGTTGATCTGTAATAGAAGTCTCATTTTTAAAATGTATAAACTGAGCATGTTCAATTTATATATTTAGAAATACACACACACCCATGTAACAACAATGAATGAAAAAGGAGGGGTGTGTGGGCAGATTTGGTGGGTAGAAGGGAAAGGGGGAAATGATGTAATTATATTTTAATCTTAAAAATTATTGAGAGCTGAGAATGTGTTCAGTGGTAGAACACTTGCCTCTATTGGTGGGAGCACTAGGCTCAGTCTTTAGTATTTTAAAAAAGGGTGGGAGGCGTATTCAAAAGGTTATTTAATCCAGAGAGAAATTTAGATTCGATTTTATGATTTGAAGAGCAGTAGTCTACAACAACCTTAGATGTTATGTTATTTTGAATATCCCATTAGGAGCAGTGGGAATGGGTCTAGAGAATTCTAGAGACCAGATGGAAGCTACCCCATTTATTTATTTATTTATTCATTCATTCATTCATTTATTTTTCCGGGGCAGGGTTTCTCTGTGTAGACCAGGCTGGCCTCGAACTCACAGAGATTCACCTACCTCTGCCTCCTGAGTGCTGGGATTACAGTTGTGTGCTGCCATCATCTGGCTGGTGTTTTTCTTTATAAATTAATTACAATTTGCCAAATGTGGTGGCACACACCTCTAATCCCCCAGTATTGGAGGGTCAGAGGCAAACAGATCTCTTGAGTTTGAGGCCAGATAATGCTAGATCTACACAGTGAGACTCTCTTTCAGTAAATAAAATATAGCTTTATTTCTAGTTACATATCCTGTGTTGTTTCCTATAGTTGCTCTTATATGAAGGGGCTGTGAGATTAGATAATATAAGGACAATAAAGATGTGTTATTGGTATCAGTGGATTGTATTATGTAGTGGAGTGTGTCATCTCAGCATTGGCAAAGCGCATAGCAAGCCTCTGTACGAAGGGAGGGAGGAATTGCTTTATTAGGATGGCTATTTAACTAAACTAAGCAAGTCTTTGTGTTCAACTAGTGTTGAAAATAGGACTGACCTATTTCTTGTTCTTTTATACACCAGTGATAAGCTAGTTTCTTGGAATTAAACATACTAAAAAACGACACTATTTTCTTGAATAAGATTGGCATCAGTAAGTTTATCTAGTTCTCATGCAAATCCTAGGCAAAGCAAAATTTTAAATTAAAGAAAGATCCTTTGGTAGGATTGATTTTTTTTTTTTTTTTTTTTTTTTAAATTGGAAAATCAGTGTTTAGAAGATATATAGCTGGGCAGTTGTGGGGCACACCTTTAATCCCAGTACTTTGGGAGGCAGAGGCAGGTAGATCTCTCAGGCCAGCCTCTACAGAGGGAGTCCAGGACAGCCAAGGCTACACAGAAAAATCCTGTCTTTAAAAAAAAAAAAAAAAAAAATGCCTACTGTCCTAAACTAGCAGATCAAGGTCAAAGAAAATTAAGAACACATTTTGAGGTAGGATGTGCTCAGGATTGTGCAAGGACCTCACATTGGCTAAGCACACACTGTGCCACCAAGTTACACACCTAGCCTAAGAACTAATGTGTGTATGTGGCATTGAACATGGGAATATTACAATCTGAAACCTAGAAAGGTGACCCAAGGTGAATGTATAATAGGATTATAGATACTGTTTCTTCATAAGAGGGATAGTTTATTGTAGGAGCCTCCGATTTTACTTATGACACAAAGATATAGTCATATAAGATTTATATAATTACCAGATACTGTGTAGCCCTGACTATCCTGGAATTCCCCCTGGTAGTCTCCCAGAGTTAATTCTCTGAGGTCAAGTTGTTATCATAAGAGTGACCCTTAAATGCTTTTGGCATTCTGTCCAACTATGCTTTCCCTCTCTTTCTCCAAGTTACACTAGACCCTTACCATGGAGTCACTCACACCGAGGTCCTCACTAGAAGCTAAACTGATGGACTTAACTGAATGTGAACTTTCAGCCTCCCAAAATAACCATTTAAAAGAACCAAAGTACTTAGACTGGGCATGGTTGCCCATGCCTTTAATCCCAGCACTTGAGGTGGAGGTAGAGGCAAGTGGATCTCTTGAGTTCAAGAGATCTAATTGGCCTGCAGAGTGAGTTCCAGGACAGGAAAGGCTACACAGAGAAACCCTGTCTCAGAAAACCAAAACCAAAAAATGTACAAAGTACCTTCCTGATGTATGTATGTATGTATATATGTATGTGTGTGTGTGTGTGTGTGTATGTATGTATGTAACTGAAAATAGATAATGAATTTTGTTTAATAGGCGATAAGTGTGCTCTCTGTCAGTGAGTTATCAAGGTCCCAGGACAGGAATCAAAGCCAATAACTAATAGATATTTTTAGACTTCTAAACATTTGTGAAATGTACCTGTGAAGTAGAGGGTCATTGTGGGAAGAATCATTCTATAGAATCTTCCTGTTCTGTTAAGCTTTGAGGAAACTGAATTAAAGGTGGAACAATTCATCTGACCTACCTTTTAAAGAAAGAAAGGGGTAATATAGGATTTTCACCTCACTTGAGTTAAAGGAGTTGGGAAGTGGGGCTGGAGTTTCCTCCATCCTCCAGTACTGTTTCATGTCACTTAAGCCAGGGGATATGTAGTCCAAGAAATTTGTCATTAGGTCATTTTGTTGCTATGCTCATCATAGCTCTTAGTGTACAAGCTTGTTCAGGTCAGTCATTCAACAGATTGTCTCCATCCAACTTAGTAAACATTAGATGAAAGAGGCTGTTGCCAGGGTAACATGTTTTCCATCACAGGAGCCTTTTTATAGATAGCAGTGCACTAAAATGATGATGAAAAGTACAGTCTGGCAAACACAGAGACTAGTAACGTTGTCTGCTGCCATTATCATTATCCAGTGTTATATGCTTGGTGATTGTGCTGTACTTTCAAATGACGGGCAGTGTGGCTTTTTTTGTCACCAACATGACCAAATATGTGCTGCTTTGTCCCCTGGTGCTTTATGGTGGATATTGCTAAGTGGTAGTTATTAGCTCCTTTGTAGTTCTACAGAATCACTCTAGTATATACCATTCATCTCCTACCAAAATGTCACGCAGTATAGGGCTGTACTTTGTTGAGCTTCTGCTGTATACATACAAGGCACAGGGTAAGTGTTGCTTCTGTTCTCACAGAGGCCTGTAATTCACCAGTTCAGAAACACAGGCCCCATTTTTAAATTGACCATATTGATTACCCCTATCTCATAATTGGTGTAAACTAAATTCTTACATATATAAACTGTTTAGAATAGTACCTGGATATAAGTATGTCCGATGACTGCCCCACACTTGGGTTTGCACTCAACGGAGATGACAGATATACAATTTCTCATAATGGTCTTAATCTGAAGAAGAAAACTGGAATATTACAGTGGAATGGAGTGGGAGAAGTGATGGAGTGCATAGTTGTACAGTAAGCCATTCCAGAGTAATACACAGAAAAATTAGCCTGAACACAATAAGGGAAGCATCTCAGGGACATTGCTTCATGAGAAAAACTTGACATTTAAAAGTTCACACTAAGAATGGGGGAGGGGCACAAATCTTAAGCTAATCTATTATGAGAGATTGATTGATTAGTAATAGTCTTTATGGGGTGGAGCTAGCAGGCTTTAGGGGGCTAGTATTCTTTGCTTTGTTGGTCTGGTATTTTATATTTTGTTTTACATTCTTTTTTTGCTATCTAGCCCAGGCTGGCCTTGAACTTGTGCTTATGAT